TCTATTGTCTACTGGGAGGAAGGGTGTACTGTCACAGTGAAAGCAGGACTATTGTGTGGTTGTAGATAACAGGAATGGACAAATACAAACTTCTTTTCCAAACTGAAACTTCCAAAGCAGGGTGGAAGTTATTTAGAAGTCCTTCACAACCCCCAACATCTGGTAGAAACTGGTTTGCGCTCAGTGACAGTAGTTACCATCAGATATAGCCTGAGGGTTTATTGCTAGTGTCATTTTCAGTTTTTGTGATTTACATCGAACAGTTTCAGAAATGAGTGATATGCTCAAGAATTTTAATTTTGTCTATGTTGAAAACATATACAAAAGTTAAGGAGCTGTCCATTTAGAACTAGTTGCAAAATGCTTTAACTTTCAGTGCTGCCCTTCAGTATTTTCCATCTCCTACTGTTTTGTTAGAAATTAATTAACTTTGAGCCACAAAAATGATATTGATTGATTGATTGATATCAGGGATCGAACTCAGGACGTGTGCTTGCGAGGCAAGTTACCACTGAGCTAAATCCCTGGCCCACAAAAATGATTAAAACTCATTTCTCCATATAGTTTATTTTTTATAGCTCTTTTTCTGTGTATGGGTCTAGAAGTCATTTATTTATCTGATGTGTCTGTCTCCTTTATGGCTCGCCCTACCTCACACCACAAGTGAAATGTTGACCCTCACTGCCAGCCAGGCCTCACATAGGGTGTTAAAAATATCAGACAGGCATCTGGATGAGAGCACCACAGTCCTCCTGGAGCACCTCCTTAATGAGACTTATTTTTCTTTATTTGGTCACCCACCGAAGAGCAGATCATAAATCCCCGCATCTGCTCCCAAGCAGCAGCTGTGGCTGGCTGCCTGTCACCCTGTTCCTCACCTTCTTCCCTTTACCTCTTCAACCTTAAATCCCTCCTCCTTGGGCTAAAGTCTGTCTTCCTTTTGTTTTCCTGGCTGACTAGTGTTGATTCAGATGGGCTGCTCCTGCATGGTGGCCTGGCCCCAGCTTCATGGGGTCTGGCAGGGGGCATCCCCCTTTTCTTGACTTGGCCAAGTCCTCAGGGCTGCAGCCTCCCCCGCCCCCTTTTCTTTCAGTGGTGTGAAGGTTGGTTGCCCAAGAAAATTGCGTGGGAAGGAGGACATATGGGGCAAAAAGAAAAATAAGGAAACAATTGTGTTCATTAATTCTGAGGAAATGTATTTAAGTTACTATCATATAATAAAAGGGAAAGCTTGGCGCTTAAGTAACCACTTCAAGAAGAAATGAATGGTATTTTAAAGCTACACAGAGAGCTAGATTGAGTAGGCACGAGTCAGACATTGTGATGAAATGGTTTGACTACACTTAGACCAGAAAATGCTTCTACACCTGCTCTGCCTTTCATCCCCTCTATCTGTTGTGGAAATACATCAGTGCTGTCTCCATGTGAAAAATTAGTTATTGTATGTATATGGGGAAATTTAAAGGCTGATGATGCTGATGCTAATGTTCAATCCCCAGATTACATACATATGACTAAGTAAAACAGTCACTTTAATCCCTAGTTGAAAATCTTTCTGACCTTTCTAGTAGAAATATACTTAATATCCGTGGAGATACTTTTGGGGAGAAAATAGTCATTTTCATTAACAAAACGTACTATATATACAATATATAGTTATATACATAAAATATAGGGCATTTTTCAATATTTTGAAGGTTAAATCTTAATGACTAAAATTTTCTTAAGTTTTTATGACTTACAAAAGCCACTTCCAGGGTGAAATTGCCTACATTATATGTTGAAAGCTTACCTGGATGTATACTGTTTTTTCATATATGCTCATGAGTGAAACGATGGGAATTATGGTTTAGTTTGTTTGTAGAGCTCTAATACTCAGTTTCTGCTTCAAGTCCTGTCCTGTAAATCCCCTCAATGGCCTGGCTCCCCTGGCCCTTGTTTAAAAATCATACACTGTCCTGAGGGCTGTCTAGTACTGCCTCCATCCTGTCCAGCACATTCTTTCTTGGGTCTCACAATACAGAGGAGCAAGTGGCGGGTCTGTAATACCTGTTTGTATGTATTGAATATTTCCTGTATGCAAATCTACCTCCCCTCTCCCCAGTTTTCTTCTTGAGAACAGCGTTACTCTTACATTCCCCACAGCACTGTGCCTCGTATGCAGTGGCAGCCAGTCTGTGTTGAATGAATGATATTTAGATGTCAGAAACAGAGTCAGTACAGAAGCCCATGTCACCCAGACCTACTTTTTCCCATGTGGCCTGAGCCTGTGTGATGGAGGACCAACAGCTTATTTGATGAAGGACCTTTTGCCGTCACATTTTAGTTAACTAGAGTAGAAGTTCTGGAACCCTGTGTATAAATCCCATTTCTGCCATTTGCTGATGTTTTTGGTAGCCTGTGTCATAGATGCTAATGCAATGAGGGTCTCCAGTTTACAGAAGTGGTCTTTAAGGCATGAGGGGTGTGGTAACTTCTTAAAGTTACACAGCTGATCAAGTGGTGAAGCTTGGACATATCCTTTGGCTTCTCTGCAAGGCTGCCTGTCATAGCTTGGCTTTGTACATAGTAAATGTCAAATATACCATAACCATATACAGATTATACTTATTTATTATCTGGCCAAAAATGTAAAATGTGACCACAGTCAGAAACTCGGGACTTGGTTACATTGCTCCCACCCACAGGAAGCACAGGCAGCACAGGCGTCTGCTCTCAAACTATACCCTCCTCGTGACCTCCTAAATTGAATGTATAATTGGTGTGGCTTCTCTCAGGTGATGCAGTATTTCTTCATTCTACTCACATGACTAAAAACAATTGGATTTAAGGCTCCCTTGGATCAGAATAGTGGCCAGAAGAAGCGATTGTAGTAAGACTGTTACTGAGCATCCCAGGTCATAGTGAAGGGCACAGCTGGGCAATTGCATTGGTACTTGGGCTTGATATCGAGATGGGTCTCGGGTGTTGTTTTCTTAAGCCCTTTTTGCTGCGTCCTTCCTCTTGCTCTCCGGTATCTTTGTTAAGTTCTTGGTTTCCCACTGACTTGGCCTTCTCACTGACTTTTTCTAATACAGAAAGAAAGAAAAACCACTACAAAAAGCAAAGGAAGGTGGAAATTATTTAGAAGCCTGAGAGGCAGAAGGAAGGAGAAATACCATAGAATTGAATCTTACAAAGGTGTTTAAAATGCTGACTTGAACTTATGGGACTTTTTTTTTCTTTGCTAACCAGTTAAGTACCTGGAGTAGTGTTCCTCTAAGAGCTCCTTAAAACCTTTGTTAGTATGTTTAGCTCTTTGGGAGCTTCAGTTTCTATCTCTTGTTTGTGTGTGTGTGTGTGTGTGTGTGTGTGTGTGTGTGTGTGTGTGTGTGTGTTTGGGGGGTGAGTACTGGGGACCAAACTCAGGACTTTTCGCTTATGAGGCAGGTGCACTGCCGCTGAGCTAAATACCCGGCTCTCTGTCTCTTGTTCTTATGTACTGAAGTAATATTTTGTTTCTGCTAGTGATAATCATTGTGAGACACTGATTCTCTTACTGTAGGTTCTTTTATTGTCTTACTCGAAGCCGTTCAGCACGTAGGAGCTATAACGGACCTCCTCCACCTCCTGAGTCAATAGTTCCTCTGATTTGAGGGATACATCTTTTTTTATTACACTATGTATGTATCTTTATCTTCAAAGTAGTTACTCAGAGTACAAGACATAAACCAAAAAGCTTCTTACAAAAAAGAAACAAACAGTAGCACAAATGTTTCTTTTCAATAAATAAGATAAAATAGTAGTATAATGAAACCAATTGAATTTTGTAATTTGAAGAAGTATTTGAACTTCTCCCTATTTCCTACTTATCTCCTGTTTTGTTCTTTGTGTTTCTCATATAAGAGAAAATATGCGCTACTTGAGCTTGTGTGTCTAACTTATTTCACTTAACATTTTGTTCTCAAGTTTCATCCATTTATCTGTGAATGCCTCAAGATTATCTTTGTGTATGGTAGCATAGTACTCTATTGTATATAAATACATTTTCTTTATCCATTCATCTGTTGATGGACGTAAACACTGTTTCAAAGATCTAGTCATTATAAATTGTGCTATGAACATGAGTATACATGTATCCCTGTGATATGATTTTAACTATTTTGGGAAGATGCTTAGAAGGAGGGGAAGCCTAGTCAAATGGAATTTCTAGTTTTAGTTTTTTGAGGCATTTCCACACTAATTTCCATAGTGGTTGTACTAGTCTACATTCCTACCAACAGTGTGATAGAGTTCCTCTTTCAATTTTCGGGGTACGTCTTAAGACCTCTGGTGATAGCAGTTAGAAGCAACCGAGGAAAACAAAGTCTGGAGGTGGCAGGTGTGAGGGGTGGGAGGCACAGTAAGACAGCCAGGCCGGAGCGCAGGCCTGTCTACAAGGCAGGGAGAGCCTCCACTTGAGGGCCACTGGTTATGAGTCTGAGTGTAGGAACTAGGGGCTGCCACAAGGGTGTCGGCTCTACCTGGCTAAATTTGGAGCCTTTCAATTGGAGTTGAGGCACTGCCTCTTCCCTGTCATGCGTGAGCTATTGCAGCAAAGACTTCACATTGGCCAACTCAAAACAGAGACTGGGAGGAGCCCCTTACAACACCTGTCATTTCCACATGGTGTGAGACTGCTCCTGAAACTGGAGGCTGCAGCCCAGGCCCAGGGCCAGCACATTGATTGTAGCTTACCAGGCTGTGGAAATACAGTGCCTGTGTAGAGTTTGGGCCCAGTGAAGTAGGCTGGATCGTTTATTAAATGCTAACCTTTCCACTTGCTTAACCTTTAAGGAAGGTAGGGAGGAAAAACAAGAGCTTTTTTATTAGAAATTATACATGCACATAAATCAAAACAATGTGTTAATTACTGTTGTCAAATTTCTTATGGAAGTCAAAGTTCTTTCATTGTTGGCAAAATGATCAGACATATTATTATCATCTCTTTTCACTGTTTTTCTCCCTGTTTTCTGTTTTAGTTGCTGATAATGTGTTCAAGATGAGTGGGATGGGAGAAAATACCTCTGATCCGGCCAGGGCAGAGACAAGAAAGCGAAAGGAATGTTCTGACCAGCTTGGACCCAGGTTAGACACTTGCTTAGAAAATCAGAATTTTCTGTTAAACTTTATACGTGTTTCTTTGTTATTTTAGCATTGATTTTGCTTCTCATTCAAATACTGTATTAGGTTTTTCTCCTTAACAGTTAAACTTTTAAATGAGTATTAACTTACATTTTGAATATGCTAATCAGCTACAGCTTTTTGTTCTTTACAAAAGGAGGGAAGCTATATACTTCTGATGCCCCCTTTGTATTTGACTCTTTTTTTTTTTGTATTTGACTCTTATAATCAGTTCATTCTAAAATCTTGTATTTTTCGTTTTTTTTTTTTTTCTGACAGATCACAGGATGTTGTAACAAGTAGATCCTGAAGTGAAAGGATTTGTGCTTAGCTTTATGTGGGGTTCTTGTTTTAATTTTTTTTTTAAACATATGAAATGTTAAATCCATTTTCTTTTGAGTTGAAAACAAAGATTGGCCCTTCAATGAATAAAACAAATAATTTTACAGCAAGCTTCATCTCATCTGTTGTGGGTAGAAGTGGGCATTTTAGAACCTTCATTTAGGGTATTGGCTGTATCAAAATTGCAGACTCTCTGAATTAGCTATTCTGCTTCTAGAACTCTTCCTATGATACACTTCCAAACATGCAAAATGATGTAGTCCTGAGGACATGCATCACATTATTGATAATTATGAAAGATTAGAAAAAAACTAAATGTTTGAGGGGAACTGTTTAAATAACTATGACAAATCTGGAACATGGTGCAGCTATGATAAAGGTTGAGGAAACTTGAGTCAATATGAAAATATATAAGAATATTAAAATTTAAGAATATTGGAACCTAAGCAAAGCTTATAAAGTGTTTCTGGATTTTACTGCTACATATTTATATTTAAAAGGGGAGAAAAAAAGCATCTATATTTGTATTGTGTGGGGTAACCAAGAAAAAAGTGGTAGTTCTTGCCTGCTTTTGGTGGGAACTATGCAAAGAGAGAACAAAGATAGAAAAGAAACTTTTAAGTCTTTTGATGTTTTAAATCAAATAAATGATTTCAAGAGTTAAATAAAAACAGTAACTTAGCTCCAGTGAACAGTAAAAAGGATCAGACAGGGAATAGTAGGGAAGAAGACTAGAACAAGTCTTGAGAGAACGAGGAGGAAAAATGGCAAAAAGCCAATATTTTCTACTCCCTTTCCTCTCTTGAGCTGCCAAGAAAGCAACAAGCCTCTGGTGTGCGTGCTATCCACACCCAGCCGCCTGCTGCTGCATGTGCCCCTTAGGTTCCCCAGTACTTCCTAGGAAAACAGCCTTCTGGCTGTCAGACTGCCTATAATACTCAGGACTGCTAGCTGGGGAGGCTGTTTGATACACGCAAACTGTTCCAGAGAACAGGCTGTTTCTTACATAATACTGTGTTGCTGCTCCCTAGTAGGTACGCTGTCTCTGAGCCCCCTGCCTCCTGCTCTCTCAGAGGTCTTTGTAATCAAGTTCCGCTTTCTTACCTACTTGTTCATTTGCATGTAGTATGAGCTGGTAGCGTGTGGTAAGGGTAGTGGGGGGAGGTTTAGGGATGAGAATGGGAACTGGACTCTTCAGAGCCTTTCATACACCCCTTTCTTTTGCTGTACTTAATAAAGTGGGAGCAAGGGGTATAAGTAATATTTAGAAAAACAAATTCTCTTCCCTGCTCTACCAGTAACTCACTAGGTAATCTTGGACAAAGCATGTAACCACTACACGATGGAGAAATTGTCCTATATCTTAGGTTTGTTAACTTAATGAAAATACTGTTTAGAAATGAATGTACAGAAGTCTACTACAAATTCCCAAATTCTTTTAATTACTGTTGTTTTCAAATTGACTCTCTTTCTTACAGTATGGCTTTAAATGTCATTCAGCAGGCTCTCCACTGCACTTGAGAAAATAGTTGTGCAGTGTTATTATCGGAAGGACCTTTTGAATTTGCAGGTTTATCAAATTCAGATGAAATGATTTTGCCAATTTTGATGTATTCCCCTTCCATTAACTTTTTAAACCTATTGTTGAACTTGGGCCACGTGTTTATATTTTGCATGTCATTTGGCTTGGACAGTTAACAAATATCCTGAGTCAGTTTCACTTTTGGTTCTAGCTGTATTGGACTTTTCTCATTATCTGAAAAGGCTGCATGGTTTGATTACTAATATTCTACAGAGGTCTATGAAATTATAAAAATGTTTTCATTATTTCTTTACCAAAAAACATAAAACCAAAATTCATTGAAATGTACTTCCACTTATTATAACTACGTTAACTTCCCTTACTTTTACTAATCTTAAATAAATGTTACCTCTCTTTTCTTTGTATTTGACAGTAAATTTGATACCCACCTGTGTGAAACACTAACTAGCACAGAGGTCATCCAAACCCTTGTCATGTTGAAGCTGATAGTCCAGTGGGAGACAGCAAGCACATTCAACAAATAATCATACAAGTAGTAAATGCATAGTCATAAACTGGTATAATGTTGATTTAATAAGAAAAATAGCATTTTAGGACAAATTGGTACACTACCCAGAGTACTTTTGTGTTTTTGTAGGTAACTTTTACTATGTTTATATTGAAACTAGTTTGATGTGTTTATCTGCCTCATAATAACTCTTTTTCAAATACATAAGAAAAATATTTCTTGCTTTTAGCCCCAAAAGGAGCACTGAGAAACGTAATCGTGAACAGGAAAATAAATATATAGAAGAACTTGCAGAGCTGATTTTTGCAAATTTTAATGATATAGACAACTTTAACTTCAAACCTGACAAATGTGCAATCTTAAAAGAAACTGTGAAGCAAATTCGTCAGATCAAAGAACAAGGTAAGAGGACTGAATTAGTATCTTGGGGAGTTGAGTTGGTTTCTGCCTTTTCCGAGTATGAGGAGTCCCCTTGGAGCCCCTTTAATCCATTTCTTATGCTTAAATTATTGATGAGGAAATGATGTCACAGTGCAAGATGAGTGCAAGGATCACTTGCAGTGGCTTATAAATAGGCCTTATATAAAATTCAGCCGTTCCCTAAAGACAGAGGAGACTGAGGTGAGTCAGGGTGATGCAGCTTTTCATCTACTAAACCCAATTAGGTGCCCACTGGTTCTGCTCCCTACACTTGGAGTTTTCCCAGCTTGCACAGCAAGTGACTGTCACAATTTTCAGATGAGGAGCCAGTTTGAGATGTAAACCAGAAGTAAGGAAGTGAACCACCTCCTGTTTCAGCTAGTCAGCATATTTGATTAAGTTTGGGCCTCAACTGGCCATGCTACTGGATTCGAATTTCATGTCCTGAATGACAAGAGATTTGAAAGGCTTTAATCGCTAGTAAAAATTCTTTTGTGAAATCGAAACACAGAACGTGACAGCTTTCTTCCTGTGGTTTTCTTTTTTTTTCCTGCGATCATTTTATGGTTTTCTTCTTTGATATTTTTGCCTACAGAAAAAAAATTTAAAAATAATGTTTTGAATGCCCATTTGACTTTGTAGTGCCAAAAATAAATGTTTATTAGGCATGTATGAACACTGTCTTGGTGCTCAGGGCGAATACATGCTTTGAAGTATCCATATGCTACTTTCCTTCAGGGCAGGGAAGATTATTATCTCTTGTAATGTTTTTGAATGCATCCTCTTAGAGTTCATATTTTTAAATCTACATTTTATATAGTATTCCAAAAAGGCAGATTTTAGGAAAATATTATCTTTGTAAGTACATGAGCCTCAAATTTTGTTTGTTCCTGTCAAACATAAAATCTTATCTACCTATTAGCATATTTTCATCATAGCCTTTTCCACTATTGAATCAGTTCTATGTAGAAGAGTTTTAGAAGGCTGGGTGTGGCCTTATACACACCTTATACACACCTGTGATCTCGGCTACTTGGGAGGCTAAGGCAGGAGGCCTTGGGCAATTTAGAGTCCCTGACTCAAAATTCAAATTAAAAGGGATGGGGATGTAGCTTAGTGCAAGAATTGGGTTCATGCCCGGCTTGGTGACGCTTGCCTGTAATCCCAGCACTCAGGAGGCTGAGGCAGGAGGATCACTGTGAGTTCGAGGCCAGCCTGGGTAACATGGTGAGTTCAAGGCCAACCTGCACTACAAAAGTAAGACCCTGTCTCGGAAAAAAAAAAAAAAGAATTGAGGAATTGGGTTTAATCCCCACTATTGCAAAAAATAAATAAATAAAAGTAAAGCAGTTTTACAAATGTAGTTCTGTCCTTGAAGATTTTCTAAATAGACAACACAGTTTCTAATACCAGCCCACTCTGAAAATCAGTGTTTGTTTCCCATCCGAATTATCCCATCTGAATATCCGAGAGATTTCTTCTCACAATGTCTATCTCAGTCTCCATCTCCTCTTTCTTTTCCTTTCGATGTTCATTAGTTACCAAAGCTTTTGTAATCTCAGTTTGGTACCTTCTTTCCTTTTGTTGTCAGCAAGTAGATAAAATAATATTCTTAGAATTCTTGGGAGAAATAATTGGTTGAAGTTATTCGGTGCTGTGAAGTTTCGTATTTCTAGTTGCTGATATCATTGCAGTAGAGAAATCATTAAGCATAAGTTTCAGTGTTGTAAGAATTTTCAATTACTCAGTTTTGTGAACATTGCATATGAGGTAGTACTTTTATGTTTTAAAACAGTCATATGTATTTTTAACCACTGTGAAGGTCTTGCACAGGTAATTAAAGTTTTGCAAAACCTTAGTAATTCCAAAAAAAAGAAAAAAAACCTTAGTAATTCCCTCTTGAAACCATAAAACACGTTAAGATGTGTCATGCTGGGCCGATGCCATGTCTTAACTCTGGTGTTAATCGTAAGGCTGTGTACCACAACCACCCAAGAAGCAGCAATAATAAACACCCTGTCACATCATATTCTTACAATAATGCTCCCACTAATTTGAAAACCAGCATGTTTTGAAAAGGGAAGAAAAAGTTAAATACAAAATGAAAAGCACAAGTATGCTTTTAAGTTTTCGACTAATGTAATATTTTGAGAATGTTCCCTGCTTAATACATTGTTTTGTTTTGTTTTTTTAATAAGCAGAATCACATTAAATAGAAGCAAGGTATGTGTTCTGATACCTCTTAGGAGCTTTTTCAATCTGAGCAAATTATTTTATCTCTGAGATGTCTCCTCATACAGAATTGAGCAATAATCACACCTGGGTTACATGGCCGCTAAAAGAAATTATGAGCTGTGTCAACACATTCAGCAAGTACCTGTCATTGTAAATGTCCAGTAGATGATTGTTTTCTTTCCCACATTAAGTAGAGTGGTGCCTTTTTTCTTTACGTGTGCTGAAATCTTAGACTGTGACCTCCTCCTTCAGATGGGAAACAAAAGAGAGTTTTAAGGATAGTTATTAATATTCTTTCTCCAAGGTCATTTGAAGAAAGTAGTTCTCTAGGGCCAGACAACTTTTGTAGCCCATGAAGCCCCTCCACTGGTAGCTCTGTTGGGACCAGTTTGATTTCTTTCCACAGCTGACAGCCAGCCAAGATTGAAGGGCAATGTGTAAGTCTGGCCTAAGCCTTTCCCTCTCACTCTGTGTCTCCCTTGCCTCCCCCACAACTGTTCCCCCTACCAGTCACCATAAATAAAACCCAACTACCATCTTTACACCATTATCCAAACTTAATTTGTATTTCAGTCACACTTGTCAGCCTGAATAAAATCAATTTGGGAGCTCAAGAGAACATGCCTGTTATGTGTATTTGACCCATAAATGTTAAGCTGGGTTACGTGAGGTGCCATACTGAAGAATACTACAGAGCCAGGAAAGCAGGGCTCATCTTCCTGTAACCCCGTCCTGTTTCAGAAGCTGCATGCACCCACCAAGCATCGTTGACTCTCCCTCAACTCTACTACTTCATTAGCTGCTCCTCAACACTCCATACACTTATTCTGTACGTGAAAGAGAGTAGAGAGGATATTTCAAAGTAGCCTAAAGGACAGGAATTTAGAAGAGGAGTTACCACTGGCTGTTTAAATTAATAATCATTCTCTTGTGCCTAGCACTTTATGAGATACACGGGTGGTAGATGCTGGCCCTCCAAGAGCATGCATGAAGAAAAATGTACATTGTGGAAACAGAGCAAGTACACACAAGAGTTTGATGCTATGAGTGGGATCACCATTAAATATGAAATTCCATTCATGTTGGTGGTTTTCCTTTGGCCCACATTCAAAAGTCCTTAGTTATGAACTGAGTATCTTAGTAATTAAGTTGGACCTTCTATTTGACTAAATTCTCTTTGCGAATTTTGAATACCAGCTAAGACTTAAGTAGTTCTTACAATGTGCTAGGCACTTTTAAAATTCCTTAGATTTGGTAATTATTTTAATACTTAAAATATCCCATCGGGGCTAGGATGCAACTCAGTGGTAGAGCACTTGCTTAGCATTGCTTAAGGCCTTGGGTTTAATCCTCAGCCCTGCAAAAAAAAAAAAAAAATTAAAACATTGCCAAGGAATGGGTATATGTTTTTCCCCTTTAATAGTTGGAAACTGATACATGAATACTTAAGTAGCTTAGCACAGTCACTTGTACTAAGTGACAAAAGAGCATAGAATAAGGCAGTCAGTCCGGCTCTAGGCTGCACTTAAACCAACATAGCAGCAGACTTTTGATATTTAATTATAATGCTTCTTAACTGTTATGATGATGCTAAATGTTCAAAACTTTTTGTCCTATAACCTAGAAAGTGTAGCCTTAGAAAATGTCCTTATTTGCTAACTTAGGAGACTAATATTGCTTCTGCTTCATAGAAGAATTATAAATAATATGAAAGATACTATTTTGTATTAACACATGTCCAGTTTCCATCTTCTTAGATGGAAACTCAAACATTTCTATAGAAAGGATATGGTGATTCCTATTTCCTTATAAAAAAAAAATTGAAGTGTGAAGTGACTAAAAAATTCAGAGCTGTTTTATTTTTTTGTTGGTGGTGGGGTTTTTTTCTTTTGTTGTTATTGTTGTTGTTGTTGATTTTTGAGACAGGGTCTGGTTATGTAGTTTAGGCTGGCCTTGAACTCATTATGTAGCCCAGGCAGGCCTTGAACTCATGACAGTCCTCTTGCCTCAACCTCCAGAGTGCTGAGATTACAGACATGTGCCACCATTCCCAGCTAAGGGCTATTTTAAATATTAATACATTTTCACTATCCTGTGTAAAGTAACCTCCTCTGTTACCCCAAAGTTGCCACACTTTTTTTCCCTAAGATAATTATAGTAAAATTAGTATTGCTGCTTCATTTAAATTCACTTTGGTCCAATGTATTTGAACTTAGGATTTGTTTTACTAGTTGATACAAAATTTGTCTCAAACTTTTGCTATTTTTCTAAACCAGTTTTATTAATGAGTATCAATAGGAATAAAAAGCATATTACAAAAATCTGGTTTATTATAAACTAGATTGAGGGTGGGGTGGCATCCTGGTTGGATCAGGCAACCTAAAAGAGCGTTCAAGTTTCTCATTAGAATTACTTAGTTTGGTATTTGGTGCTGGTACAATAATGTTAGGATCACAGATAGCTTCATACATGTGAATTGCCTCTAAGATTGAAGATACAGCATCAAATGTAAAGAAGTATTGCGGTGGAGGGTGGCATGCAGGAGTCAATAATGACAGCTAGTTATTAAATTATCAAGATTTATTCATTATATGGACTCAAACTATACAGAAACCAAAGCTAAAGAAAACTAAACTTTATTCTTAAGCTATTTGTGTCTTGTAGTATCTACATGGCTGAAATACCATATAGTAGTGCCCATTGTGTATATTTTTCGAAACCTGAGTTAGTAATATTACATTGTTAGA